GAACATAAGCGACTAGATGACGATTACATAGACAAAGAATACAGACAAGTCTTGAAAAAATGTTTCTCATGCTTGAGTATTTTTCGAACTATTAAAACTTTCAACTTTCAAAAATAAAAAACAATAATTATTAAATGTTCTAAGCATTTACAGTATATAAAAAGTAACTTCATTTATATTTTTTAATCAATAGGATCTTGATTACACAAACCATTTGTCGCTGCATAGTCGAGTAACGCCCTCAATCGATCTCCCTTTAAAATTTGATTGACCTCCGGAGGGTCGATGTTGGAAAACACTGGGCTAGAACATCAAAAATAACGCTGAAATCACAGTCGCAGTCTGTCGAGGAGAAAGCAAGCAAAGTACTGCATCGCGGTGACAATAGCAATAACATGAATAAATTATGACGAATAATAAATATTACAATTGTAGATAATAGATACCTACAAGAGCAATTTTTATTTTGATTGTTAAAATTTCAATTTACTCTCTACATTGTTAGACAAGAGTTGTCAATCTACATGCACTCTTGACATCCAAAATACTTCTAAATAACAAGAAACATCTATTGAAAATTCAGCAATGTTTCTGTAAATTATTTTCTCCTAGTTAAAATTGTCGAGTTAGGAATCTGGAACAACAAATAATACCACCGTCTAATTTAAGCATTTTATTTCCTTTTGTTTAAGACATGGTTGAAAAAATCAACCCATCAAGTCCAGAAAGTTACAAAAAGTTCAAGACTCTCATACAAAGTTGCAAAACATATAATCCAGTGAAAGACATACACACGTGGAAAGACGCAGGTAAGTTCTTAACATTATCTTACCTAGTGAATACAAAAAGTTTCCAGTAAAAATATGTGAACTAGATACCATTTTTTACTCGGAGAAAAATTGGGTTGTTCAAGGGTTTAGGTAGCATTACCATGAACGAGATTGCAACGTAATATTGGTTCGCGTCCTCACCTTCACAAAATCAAATGTATAAGATCTTGCGTTGAACCTTTTGGTACTTGCTAACAATTTATAAAAGTCTTAAATAAATAAGAAACTGTTTATTTGTTTCCCCTTATATTTAACTATTGATGGGCGTTGATTGAACGTACAGTGGATCATTTTTTTCACAAAATATTAAAATATTTAACTTTCTGTTTGTTGTAACCACATTTTCTTTTGATAAAAGACCTGAAAGAAGATCAGAAAGATAAACCTTTCTATTCTTTTACAGTGAATAAGGAAATGAAGGATTTAGGAGATATCGCCCTTGAGGACGCAGGGTATTTTCAGAACTTTACGCGCCTGTTCTTGGGTCTTTTACAGCACGACAGGTACCTAGTTATTTATTGCGTTATTGTTTCTTTCTAGAATCTGTAGTATAGGAAAATGTATTCACACCACAAATTGAACTATAGATACACGTAAATGTTAGGGAATCTGTTCACAAAACCATTGTTCAATAAACTTCGTAAGTTGCATTTTAACGACCGTAAAATTGTCCCTAAAATTGACATATTTTGGCCAAAGTCTATTCATTTTAATAAGAGCAAATGTTTGGTTTTCTTTACATCAGTTAATTAAGTAAAATTGATTTAAAGTATTACCATCCTATTTTTCAGCCTTAACAAATAATTATCAATTTTTACATTTCCATCTACACAGGCTCTAGTACAAAAGATTCATGTTATGAAGTAATATATAGAAATTGAATTTTTTAAATATTAATATAAAATGTAAATACACACCGTTAAACAGAACACATTAAAAATAATTTTTGTAATTACGAATATACTTTGCTATTAAGGAACCCGTTTCATCATGATTTCTTAATAATGATTTTCTGAAAAGTTACTTCACTTAATCTTTTTAATATAAAATAATAGGAATTTAGCATAACGTAGGACATTTACAAAATTATTTTGGCTCGTTGATAAACCAAGGTTTAGAATATGCACAGAAAATGCATTGGTGGTAAGTTGATGTTCATGTCAAGAGCACAGACAGCTGTTAGTAGTATCATCTATTTTTTTTTCTTCCTTCTTTCAATATATTTGCGTGTGTGTATTTAGGAATACTTTTATGTGTCTGCTTCTCAGTATTTATTGAAGATGTTTTGTTATTACTGTACCTTCAATGATGACCAAGACTGTCGCGAAAATGCTCGTTTCGAGTCATATTATCAAGTTGTTTCGAGTGAAATTATTTTGCTATTTAATTCCCTTTCTTTCCGACAACTACAATTTTCCGAGACACGTCGTTGTTCGTCATTAGCGATGTGAATTCACTTGAACTTTGGGCTCCAGGAAGAGCATCCGCGGAATCTCCAGAGCTTCGCTGCGCAGTGGACTTTCGTTTTGTTAAATATCGCTTGAACACTCGAAGCTCTTCGCAAATTGTTCGGTGATTCTGAGAGGTTCCGCGATACGTCTTTCCTTTTGCGTAAAGCTGTTCATGGACATCGTGGAGCAAAAGTTAGATCCATTCTTGTACTCGAGGTCCTTCCTTAGCGCCTTCCGCGGCGCCCTCGATTGGAGCCAGGGGGCGCTGGGTCAGCTCCGCAGTAGACAGTGTTGGTGACCTCGAAGAGGAAGTTGCCGCTCGCCTCCAGCTGCGCTGCGACCTGCGCGTCCGGAAGGCTTGCAGATAGAGGCGCGTGCGTGCGCGATCGGGCAGCAGGCGCCGCGCGACAAGGCGCATGGCATGAGGCGTGCGAGAACGTGCGGGCCGCCAGCTGCACTCGCGCACCAGGGTCAGCGTAGCGCGCCGCCGCGAACGCACCAGCAGCGCCGGTTGTGGCAGTCCCGCGGCCTGACGAACCACACCACGCACACGGCAACACACCGCGCACCCGTGTTTCCTTTGACTCATCACGACCGACGCTGCACATTGAAATGGCTAGATTTCCCGACCAAGTATCCTCTCAACTGCGGGAAAACCGCTGCTCAACCGGACAAGCCCCAAGGTTCCGATGTCTTTGTACAGATAGTGGTAGTTTGTATGTAGGAACAAGGAAGAGGAAATGAAAGATCGCGCGTGCCATATGTTGTTAAGGCACTCGCTCCGGCATACTGCATGTGTGTTGATCTGAGAACCTACGGAAAACTCAACTGATCTTGTAGAGCAGCAGCTAGAATCTCTCCCTCCGTCTGAACTTCGACTAGCTGTGTGTGCTGTGTGTAAACCTTGTCACCGTCGGACTCCGAGCTAGGCTAGACTGCATAGTGACGCAGTGTACCCTGACACAACCTAACTGGGAAGGTGGTTATTGGTAAGCGGTTTACTAAATCCTTTGTGTTAGCCTCAGAGAACCTGCTCCGTCTGTCTACGCCGTGGAGGCTGTTAGTCTCTTTCGGACAAGTGGAGACAAATGAAGTGCTTTCCATGCGTCTCTGTCTTCCTCGAGGGGAATTTATGATTTTATTTTACTATCCACAAGATTACGAAATTCTCAAAATATGTTTTGTTTATTGTCCTTTTTATGCATTTTAAATGAAAAAGTTTCGGAGCCTTACGCACCTTCTGCCAGGTGAAATTGATAGCTCATTTGATTCCTCTCGACGAGAAAGGAAAAGATTGGCATCAATTTGGACCTAGTTCACGCTGATTATCGGAATGGATTTAGAAAAATACCTGTTTTTGATTGGTATCAATATACCTATGTAATACATTGGTGAACACTGTAAAGTACATACTCTTCCTTTACGCATGAATCTGTTACGAGTTTTGTTATACACGATCATGGCTAGCTTCATCCTATTTTATAAAAAAACAAAAAGTTGAAACAAGTATTTTAACGATACTGTTTTCAATTAACTTTCTATGCCCCGAAAATAACACCGATCGACACATCTTTTAAATAACTTGTATGGTTTAAATTTTACTGTTTATTATGTGAGTTTTCAAAGCACAAAACAAAATATTTACATGAATAACCCACAGGAAAGCCTCAATTATGTAATTTATATATTCTGAGTTTTTATTACCATCATTACCTCCTAACATAGTACTAGTATAACATTGTTTGACAGCGCAAGCGCTTGAAACATGCATTATACTATTTCGAAATAATTGGATGGATATCTTAATTTGAATGTTTCAACATACTATTTTTCATTCTCCGTATTCAAATGAAGACTATACTAGACATAAAACATGGTTCATGTAAAGAGTAAATGTGTGAAGTCCAGTGCCTGGCAGACCGATCTGTAGTTCGACCAAGAAGGTGCATGGTAGGATGGGGTGGTGGAAGACGGGCGGGAAATGCTGTATAATATCATTTCTCATTTTAACCCATAAATCGTAATTTCATTGCTTTCTCGTCTAATAGAATGTCTGAGATAAATACTCTGCAATGCAGGTAACTTCAGTACACATACGGACCACACACCACGTATATTAGATAAACTATGATTATCGTCCACACTGGTGGTAGCCGAGATTTAAAGCACGCTGACTAAATTGAGAACCTTCTTAAAACTTGCTGAAAAATATTAGTTTATTTTCACTTACGCCAAGTTTGTTATTTGTCTTTATGTGCTTAAAGTATCCGCGAATAGACCTTGCACTCTTTCATCTCGTTCAGTCGGCCGACCTGCATAAGCTTTTTCAATTATGGACTGAACATATCCTACCTATAATGGTTTAATTCTTATACAAAATATACCATTTTGTTATGTTATTATACATTTTTCGGTGGTAACATATATTAAAATATGTAATCTGATTGACTTTCGAAAGATGACTAATTTTAATGAGATGTGTCGCTATTGATATTATTTACTTATTTCTATTTTTTTTAATCTGTTGAAAAACTCGTGCATATTTCTTCGTTTAGGCCATGCTTTGCTCTAAAACGACTAGTATAGTATATTTGTGTTCAAGAAAACAGTATTAACTTGACTACGTGGCGCTCTGGGCGGGCCATTAGTGTTTCTGGGAAGATACTCACCCGTGGACACTTGCCACAAACTTTGTTCACTATCTCGAAATGTTTCAACTCAGGTCTCTTTTCAGAAGTTGCTCCACTCGCCGCGCGGCCTTCTCGGCCAGAACCTTCAAACAAAGCGTGTCGCCGCTGCTGCATTTATTGCAATCATTTTATCTATTTCTAACTTAACTTCTCTTTATTGACAAGAAATTATAGTAACCCAACCATGCTTGCTTAAAATCATAAAATATCAGGATAAGAATTGCTTAACTCTGGCAATAATTCATATAGTAACCAATGTAGTGAGGAAGGATAAGATGAAAAAGAGAAAGCACTGAATTACTACCCGTCTATCATATTCTTTACCTTATATGAAATGGAACTTTACTTCATTATTACAGGACCAGAAAACTAGTAAATTCAGTTACGTGTTCGGTTTAATATTGCCCTGCTTCGTCGTGGGATGCGTGATGAATTCATGAATATGTGAGGAGCTACGAAAGGCTTCTTTGTGCGGCTCGTAGCTTTTGTTCAGTCAATATCGTTGTTCTGCAAAGCAAAATTCTGCATATTATAATGCAAAACTAACACCCGTGAAAATAACCAAGGATATGTGTCAAAACCACTGAAGACATCCATGCCATGTAAAGTTTCGTGGAAATGTCGTTCAAGGATTTATTTTTATGCTCGATAGCCGTGGCAGCTAGTGTGCTCTTCATTTCTCTCGGAATACAGTTCTGTTTCTCCATCATGTGGGCAGGAAATATGTTTATAGCCAGCAAGTCTGCTCGGTGCATTAGTCGTCAGATATCCAAAGTCACTTCGAACGGATAAATGCTAAATGAATAATTATTCATAAAGCTCTTTCAACAAGAAACACAACCGGCTAATTTCGCGTATTTCCAAGCCGTGCGCAGCGGCTGCAGGTCGACCGTGCCAGCGCTGGCCGCTCCGCGCGGGTTCCAGTGAGACCCCGTTTCTCCTAAGGAAACAGTTACTATAAACGGTGCTGATAAGTGTGTGTCCAGCCTGTACAGTGCTGTCGCGCATTATGCAGTGAGACCCGCGTTCTCCCACTAAGTACATCAGTCTATTATAATCGGTGTTGACTGTTGTAGTCCCAGCGGTGCATGCAGTGAACAGTCTGCCGCTGTTCGATCAGGCAGCGATACGGCCCCTGCCGCGGTTACCGGGGCCACGCGAGGATGGCGGAAGAAAACTACATAACACCAGCGGCCGTGAAATACAACTGGCCTGAAACACCAGCCCAGCAGAGA